TTTCTCTGGTAGGTCGAGGAACCAGGGTCAGAGCCGTGCGGCGAAAAAAGTACATTTTCCACCAGCTTTGCTATTTTTAACACAGTTGATTCATTAGGGTTTAAAAAATAAAAAATCTCAATGATTTGCAAGACTTTGAAAAGCAAATTACAAATAAAGATTCTAAGGAGGATTTAAAATTAAAATTAAGTGGATTATGCTCAAAAGGTAAAGGCACTACAAGTGCGTACTTCATGTAGAAGTATTGTTTGATATCAACACCGACAATCAAATTATTTTTATTTGGTATTTTTGAGAAGTATAACATCACAACTAACTGTTCTCTAGAAAAAAATAATTTGTGGTGAACTTCCAACTTCTCTAATAAATGAGCAATAACCAGTGTGTCAGTGTATTTTTTTCATCATTTCATGATAATGAAAATGACTTAGATTGTTCATATTTTGACAATATGTTAATTGAAAACTGTGAAGTAGTTGAAGAAGATTTCGATCCACATTTTGATAAATACTTCATCCAAGTGTGTGAAGAAATAGGAAAAAAGTTACCCAACACCGGTTTGAAACGCCCAGCTAAAAATAGTTTATGTCCAAATTCAACACTATTTCGGTGACGGCACTTTTAAATAGATGGGACCTACAGTTATAAAATATTTTTATGTTTTTCAGGAGGCGGTTCAACAACCGATTAATGAAGAAAATCTGCAGAACGAATTTGCTACTCCACGTACACGGTATGAACCTACGCGAGCTAAACAAGCAAAAAAAGATGAAAGCAGCAGTGTACTGGCCGATGTAGTGGGCATATTACAAACTACTGCCAATAAGTTGGGAAATTCAGGCGCTCCAGATTTAACTACAACTTTCGCTTCCTATATATCAGCTAAAATGAATACTTATTCCCTTCAAACCAGGAATTCGGTCGAACATGGAATTTTTGAAATTTTGATGAAGGCTGACAGAGGTTATTATGAATCATCATATCGACAGCAGGATAACTACCCCAGTTCATACCAAGAATCCTATTATGCATCACAGAAGAAAGGACAAGATTATGTGGATCTGACCGGATATGTTAATCGTCCTGGAACTTCCGGATTTAATCGTCCCTCGCCTTCCGCGCAAACTCCAGATACAAATCAAGCCGGACGCTATGGCTATACCAGGGCAAGGAACGAAGAATATATGAACCAACAGCCATCGTCTGTAACGTCACTAGAATCTAACCAATCCTATGACGACTTTAATGATTTGATGTGATAATACTGTTCTTTAATTGACTTATTAAGAATAAAACTTACCTTGATATAATCTTTTAATTCCTCAATTATGGCGGAGCATACTTCTGTAATAATGCCACTTATGGCTTGTTTTGATACTCTGAAGGTATACTGTAAACTTGTGTAAGAGTCACCACTAGCTAAAAAACGAAGTGTTATTGCCAGTCTGTCTTGGATTGAAATTGGAGCCCTTAACTGTGTGCGATTCCGAAAAATTCTTGGTACGACTAATCTGAGTAGATCTTCAAATGTCGTTGGACTCATCCTTAACCCTTTCAGGACGACCTAACACGATCGTGCACGTTATTTCAAAAAATTCCCGCGCCTTTTCTAACCAACTTTTCGGGCCCAAGACGCTACCCAACGATCGTGCAACAGTCTGTTTATGAATTAAACGCATAGGTGCGAGAGAGAAGGCAGTCAGTGTTCTTTGACATCGAAGTAAAGATGTCGACCTCTTTTGTTGAGCGGAGTGGTCAGCGTTAGTGCTAATTATTTCGTGATTAATTCAACTATTTTACTAGAATTTTGCTTTTAATATTTTGTTTAATTAGTAATGTAATTCGATAAATAATATTTTTGGCATTATTTATTTTGCAGTGGGAAACATTACCTCTCAAAATTTTGTTTGCACGATAGTGATGATCCGACTCAAACCCAACATTCGGTGACATACTTTGTATGGCGGTGAACTATTCTATTTTAATGCTTTCAATTAAATTTCGGCTTTTTGAAACAAAATTAACGGGTGGATTGTTGCTTCAGCTTATTGGGCATATCAATTATTCCGAAATTGAAGAGATGGAACATGATGAAGGCAATTTAGAAGTCTTGGTTTGCCATTGATGCCTACTGATGAGCCTCAATCACCTCCAAGACCAGGTCCATTGTCAGTTACTGTGCCAATAGCTCTCTAAAAGTCTTCGGAAAGCCATGCAACTGGCCAAAGGGTCTTGATACAGATGCCATTGAACCAGAGGGATTATTACTATCCAGAACGATTGTCAGCAGTAGTAGTCTCCTTTGACCTACAGTGAAGGCTTTTGACGATATCTTTTTTGAACATGCAGCTGTTTGTACTAAAAATTATCCGCAAAACAGGAAAAGTATTGAATACCCCAGCCAAAAAAGTTCAAAAAGTAGTTTGAATTAATTTCTTCATGAGATGTATTCCGTCCCCACGTATTCACCTGTATTGGCGACGAATAGAATGAGATTAGCTTTAGTTGCTGATAAAATTTTCAGATATCTTTTTTGAGTCTTAGTGTGGCTTTCCATGCTGTAAACAGTGATGAAGCTCCTGCAGTAGGAAAACCAGAATTGAGTTTCGGAAAGAAGGGCATGCAGTGCTTACTCAAGTCTGAAAGCTTGAGACAAAGTAGAAAGCCAACATTTTTTTTATTCCGTAGACGAGCAAATGGATTTCATTGTCTGGGACATATTCACATGGTTTTTAACAATAAAAAAACAAAGCCACATTCACACGTAGAGCTTTCGTCGCTACTAACCATGATGGTTTGATGATTGACTTCGAAGTTTATCAGGACGCAACAATAAACTTTGAAGATCTCTAGGTTTTTGAACTTCTGCAATTCTTCATCTCTCTCAAGTAGATTGCAAGCAGTTAGCTCTGTATCTTTTGACAGGTTTTTCTCATCCATACTTTTATTTGAGAAATTTAATGAAATGGGGCTTCATGAGACTGGCACAATTTTGAAAACTGAATTCCTAGGACGAAAAATAAGGACATCAAGCAAGAATCCCAAATATTCATTAGTAATGACATTGTTATTGTAAAATGTATGGATAATGGATAACAAACCCGTCTTAGTAGCATCCAATTTTACATCAGGAGAAGATTTTTTTCCTCATCAAGAGATGTAATAAAAATCTGCTAGTACCTATCGTTTTACCTATTTTAAAATGATTTGCAATTTAAATCAGATATATTACTCAAAGTTCCTTCTCCTTTTAAGAGTATTAAAAATATATGTTTCTAAATATTTTATTGTTTTTTAGGTTTTTAACTTCAAAACCTGACACCGTCACTTTCGTGCAGTAAATTAATTTAAGCCTGAGCGTCATGATCGTGCTGGGTCCACCCACGAAGAGGGGGGCGAGGGAGATTTTTAAATTTATTTTTTTGGAGTACCTTATACAATAATAAAACATGTTATGTAGTCAAAAATGTTAATTTAAAAAAATCTGAAATCCGGCCTGAAAGGGTTAAGAAATTTTGAAATTGTCCAGTTAATCTCATATCGGCCATTAGTTTTGCACCAGCTCTCTGACTATACGAGGGCGGCACTGAAAATTTCGGGAATCAAGGAAGTGAAACAACATTACTATTTAAAAATGTATTTATTGCTTTTTAAAGTATTCTCCGCGAACTTTGACACATTTTTCCATACACGAAACCAATCATTGAAGCAACCATTGCATTCGGAAGTTTGGGTCTCCAAAATGGCCGTTTTGTAGGCTTCCACAGCTTCTTCAGGTGATGAAAATCTCTGACCACGCAATTTATTCTTAATTTTAGGGAAAGTATAGAAATCATTAGGGCTTAGGTCGGGGCTGTACGACGGATGGACTAATAATTCTATGTTTTCTTGCTCTAAAAACTCTTTTGTTCAGTGCGCGGTGTGAGAACTCGCATTGTCGTGATGGAGGATGATGCGGCGCTTGCAGTTCTCTTTACGGAGTTCAGAAACGACCTGTGGCAAACAAATGCTAGCATACTAATCTGCATTAACCGTTCTTTGTTCTTCAAGAGGAATAGTCGCAACATGGCCGGTTTTGGAGACAAACGTGGCCACCATTTTTTTTGCAACACTCCGTGAACGAAAAATTTTTGTTGGCTTTAATTCATTTTCGAACACCCAAACTCGTGACTGGTTTTTTGTTTCGGGTTCGTACGCGTATATCCATGATTCGTCACCTGATACGATGTTGTATACAGCATTTGAGGATCCTGCATGTAATCTCCCGAGAGGTCTGACGCACCAAGTAACGCGAGCCGCTTTTTGATCTTCACAGAGCGAATGCGGTATCCATCGGGAAAACAACTTTTTTACACCTAATTGTTCATGCAAGATTATTTGTATTTGACTCATGCCAATGTCTAAAGTTGCCTGAATTTCGCGGTATATCACATGTCGATCTTCTTCAATCAGCTTACGCACAGCATCAACGTTTTCTTAGGTGACTGCAGTTTTTGGACGACCTTGACGGGGATCATCACTGAGCTTGACACGTCCACGTTGAAATTCAATAAACCAGCGATAAATTGTGGTTTTGGATGGGGCTTCATTACCAAATGCAGAAATCATCCGGTCAACACACTGTTTTTGTGTTAAACCACTTCAAAAGTCATAATAAATCATCGCTCTTGAATTTTCTCGAGTCAATTCCATTTTCTCAACGACAAAACAAGTTTGACAAGACCTTGTGATACGACCGAGAATCTTTTTTTAAATAAATAAATGGTATACGATTTTTAAAACCCTGGAGTTTGCAATTAAATAGATTTTAATATGACTGGAACAGTGGAAATATTCCATTCCCGATACTTTTAGTGCAGCCCTCGTACAACTCTGTACGCCACCAACGTCGATGTCTTCTGCGTTTTATCACATGATTCACTATTAATAATGAAGCACTGACTATCATCAGAGCCCGCAATTGGTCGTCACGATCCATTCCTTTGCGTGTTCTTTTGCAGACTGAGCGATCCGTTCGCGCGCATCTCGGAAACAGATGTGAGTAGGTACATGCGCGGTTCGTGCGCACGTTGTGCGCGCCCCGCGTCTACACTGATGCAATGCTCGTTTCGTGTTGCATTGCATGTTGCGTTGCAGCAGTCTGTACCCGCCTTAAGGTGACCAGCTCGCCGCCGGGTTCTGCGCCGCGCCGTTTGCCATCCCGCGGCTAGGGATCCTTGCCAGACTGCCCTCTGACGGGAAGTCGCAGCCGATTGATTGAGAGTGGCTAGCCCTCAACCGCCCGTGTGAGAAGAAATCCGGACCAAAGAGGTGTGTTGATTACGGCGTGCATCAACCGCCGGCTCACCGCTTTCTCAACCTCCAGGACTCTTTCATCCTCCCGTACGGGTCCCCGCGCACGGCACAAACACGCAGGAGGTCATTCTGACTTTCACCATCTTGGTTTTTCAGATGATGGACACGCTAGGACATGACCTCAACATCCCAGCGATAAAACGCCCGAAGGTTTTAGTTACGTCTATTTCCACCAATAGCAGGACGGCAACCACGTGCAGGAGAAGCCTTCGGACTTGCCTTGAGGATCATCACGACTTGCGCTCTCCATCAAGACCATTCGCCACCTTACCCACCGAGAGGCATGTAGTGTGTACGCATCCTTTCCCCATATTAGGCATAAACCACTAGTATATAAGCTTAGGATAATCTTCATTCGGACGATTAAACCTACAGTGCGCACATCTAACTGTTTTATTGTGTCTCCCGAACGTCACACATTACATGGCGACCCTGCCAGTGCTGCCCACGGGCAGCGCTGCGCAATCAATCAAGCAATAAATTAAATATGTGAATTTTGTTATGTGAATTTGTGAACGGACCGAATTATAAAAGACTTTCGTCTACAAATTAAACATGAAGTGGACAATGTGATGAATTATTATGGAGACCAAATTTTGGATNCCTTGGCAAGCCCCGACAATCACAAGCGTGTAAAGAAGGCGTTTGGCTTGGCTTGCGTGAGCTTGTGGGCGCTTGCTTCCGATCCAGTCGAGTGTCGGTTTTTTGACGCAGATCAAAGGGCGTTTGCGGCAAGCGCTTGGGACGCATTTACACGTTGGTCCACGTTCAGTGGGCATTGTGATCTCGCGGCGAGTACACGCTTGTACGGACAAAATAAAAAATGAGTAGCTGGTCAAATGACGAGTGTCTTTCCTTCCTCGAGCATTACCAGATGGAATCCTGCATCTGGAATCCGAAAGATGCAAATCACAAAGATAAGAAGAAACAAGCAGATGCATGGATTCGTCTCGCTCAACTTACCGGAAGGCCAGTGAAGGAAGTAAAAAATAAAAAAGAGATATTGATGACTACTTTTCGCAAGCACTTAAAAAAGAAACAGGAATCTATGCGTTCTGGCGCAGGTATGTTCCTATGATGTACCTTTATAATTATTTTGATAGTCTGCTTAGCAAGGTGTAACTTTAATTAAAGTTAGTTTCTCTATTATTCCGCAACTGTCTCGCTCTAATTTTCGACGTTTTCAAAGGTTTGAGAAAATAATTGTGATACTAAAAAAACTCTCTGTTAGTCACTAGATTACCTATTCCCGTAACATTTCCCATATTTTAATCATATTTTCTTTTT